CAAAACAAATGGAAAGGAGAACTGCCATTGCAAAGTCATGCTCAGAGAGCTTGTGTGCAGCACATGCTTGTGCTCCTGTGCCACTGAAATGATCTCCGAGAAGAAGAGGGCTTGGAGGTCCTGCCTGGTCCAAGCAATGCCTCTCCTCAAACCAGGTGCAACAGCATCTCCTGCAGTATCGCCTCACAAGAAGATGGAAAACCAGACACATTTCACATCTTTCGGATGCCGATCCTCACCTCTTGCCACAGTCATGGTCGCGCTTTCCTGCAGGGAGGTCTTGAAGGACTCAAACCCGAAGACATTTTGCAGCGTTTTGCGGACCCTGCCCTCCAGCCCCGGGGGGGCCTCGCCGCTCATCCTAGAGAAGCTGTAAACAGCGACAGGAACCGACGCTAAACCTGAATGCCAGCACCCTCCTCTAGCCGAGGTCTGCCCCGTCTCGTTACCACCTTTGCAACCTCCCCCATGGCTGCCCGGTCACGGCCCCCCCTTTTTTTTTTTAGGCCCCCGCCCCCCCTCAGATGCTATCCAGGCCCCCTCACTAGAGGAGCACCCAACATTGTTTATTCTGGGCCAGACCCCCCTGAGGCCTCCCCATGAGGCACGGGCCGGGCACAGCTCGAGGCTGAGGGGGGTCACAGCGGTGAGGGACCCCGCTGCCCCCCAAACCCGCCCGCATCACGACATGGGGGGGAGGGGGAGAAGGCGGGGACCGTATCACCACGCCCGCCCCTCCCCAGGCGGACTGTATCCTTCCGCCGCCCCACATCCCCCCGTCGCACCCCTCCTCGCCCCGAGCCTCGCTGCCGGTCGGGGTTCGGCAGATGCTGTCGCGGCGCCGCGCGATGACATCAAAAGGAACTCTTAAAGGAGCAGCCACCGCTAGAAAGAGGCCGCGCACCTTTCACTCCTCCTCTCCCTCTCCCTCCCCCATAAGAAAGCCTACTCCGCCTCGCCGAGGGGTCTTCTCCTCTCGCCGCGCACGGCGCGGCGCTCCCAGTTTAACGGGAGCCCTCTTCGGGCGAAGGGACGGCGGCGTTGTTATGGCGACGGCGCTGCTCGCGTCATTTCCGCGCGCCGGAAGCTCGCGGAGGCGGAAGATGGCGGCGGCGAAGCGGAGCGTTCTCTCCTCCTTGGCGGTTTATGCGGAGGATTCGGACCCGGAGTCGGACAGCGAGGCCGGGACGGCGGGGAGCGATGGGGGAGCGGCCCCGGGTGAGGGTAGGGCGGGGGCCGGGGCGGGCCGAGCGGCGGAACCCGGGAACCCGCCCTGGCCCACCGCCTTCCCCTGCCTGAGGGGAAGGCCCCGCTCGTTGCCACCTCCCTTTTCCTCATGGTTTTCCTTTCCCCTTTCTCCTTAGGTGAGAAAGGAGGCCTGGTCTCAGTTGGGTACGGAGACGACGACTTCACCCGCTTGGATGGAGATGAGGATGGGTATGAGGAGGAGGACGATGAGAACAGCAGGCAGTCAGTAAGTACCTCTCTGCTCTGAGAGCTTCCCCTGACCCCTTTCACACGTTGCAGAGGCTTTTCTCTCTCTAAAGAAAGGCCCTGAGTGACAACCCATGATGGAACCCCGATTATCTGACTCCTGGTGTGGGTTTTAGCACTCTCCAAACTTCTATTCACTTTGTTTTCAACTAGAAAGTATTTGCCATGAAACCCATCAGTAGCTTGGCTCAGCTCATGTTGTTAAGTGTAGTTGAACACGTATGAATCCTGTAAAATGAACACGCTATTGTGTGGTCAGCTGGAGGATTAAAAATAATAAAGTTCTGTGATATATTAAATAATTCTTTTGTGTATCACTCAACCTGCTCACTACATCAGGGTATCTTGATGTAATACTGTCCTATCTAGGCATGAGTGGCTTTTATTTGTCATAGGTGCATGGTATGTGTATAACATCATCTAAATATTGAGATAATTCGTGCATTGTGAGACAGGGCATGTAGTTCACTGCTATGAGTGCAGCTGTAATACACTAAGGATATATATTTCTGTTATGTGTCTGTAAGAGCAAAGCAATGTTTTGGGGGAGTGTGGAGGGAGTTTCTTGTCTCCTTTCTTTCTCATCAACCTTTTGCTTACCGCTACGTTTAGAATATATTATCTTGTCCCTGTTCTAGTGTTTTGGCTACAGGGTAGAGGAAAGAAATAGGGCTAAGTCACTATAACCTTTCCTTATTGAGGTCTACTTTGTGTACATTAGATCAGTCTCCTATGTGACACTCACTGTTTGTGCCATCTGTTTTCCTAAGTAGCAGACAAGAAATCTGTCTGTCTCTTGTTCTTGGTTTTGTTCTGTCACTAACTGGAGAGGGTGCAAGCATTCAGGGTCTGTTTCTAGCCTCTGGCTAAGCAAAGTAATGATGCTTCTTTACTGCTTCAGTGATTCTTCTTTTTATATCCAATACTTCTAGACCCTCCTTCAATGAGATCTCTTTAGTTTGAAGAAAGTGGTAGGTGTGATCCAGATGCTTGTCAAGATCAGCTGTGCTTACTTTGCATTGACAAATGGGCAGGTAAATGGAGTAGCCTTTATTGCATGCACAATTTTTAGTGCAGATTGCAGCTGTCCATCATCTGGGAGGTACAACTTGCTGTCAAGTAATGGCAACCGATCAAGTCACTCTGGTGTCAGCCAGTAAATCTTGCATATATTTGCAGTTACTGTACAGATGTGCGCAGGTTACACAGAGTGCCTCCGCTCCAGTCTGTTGCAAGAGAGTAAGGCTTGTTTTTTGCACTAAATATTCTTTGACCAGAACTGAGACTCACCTTAATATTGCATATGCTGGTAGTTCATATTGGTTATGTGTTGTTTTTAGAAAGCAGTATGAGTTGGACTCAGGTTGTCCTGGGCTTTTATCTAAACAACGCTGTGCTGATATTATCTACCTTTAACAGTGACTGAAAATCCTGTTTTTCAAAGGCAGTTCTCAGTAATGCTTCTTGTTTGTTGATACTGTTTCAGAGTTGTCTCCTGCTAGGTTAGGAGGTTCTGGGAGCTGTTTCAGTTATCTGTTTATAACAACGCATTGTGGCTTTGTTGAAGATGACTCCTACCTTTACACTGTAGGTGGGAGTGTGGAGGGGAGAGGATTCTCATTTGTGATAAACACCAAGTTACTTGGTACTGTGGTTCTTTTCTAGTTGCAAACTCACTGTTACTGAACTTTGACAGTTAAGACTGAATTATTGGCATATGTGCATGTTTCAGAAAGGTAAACTAGAGAGTAGCTGAGGTGAAGGAATTTGATGTCTCACTTCTGTGAGATATGCATGTTAATTCAGGCAATTAAAACTTACTGACATTATTGTGTGATCATTCTCTAGCTTACCTTGCCAGAACTTGCTTGTGTGCTAATACTCTCAGGTGGGCATTTCAATGCAAACTCTTCCTTTCGGTTGCATGTAATCATCTCACATTTTGTTTTTTCTTTTTGAAGCTGAAACACCAAGTTCTTGTTTTGGGGCCAAAGTTCAAATTTATGGTGAAGTTTGGGAGGAAAAAAAACATTCTACTGAGTTGTGTGAGGATGAAAAAAATTTTCTGCTCCTCAAACTTGTTTTGAACCCAGAGTATGTATTTGTTCTAGAAACATAGGTAACTCTAGGATTCCCAGTGAGGTAGCTCATAGGGCAGTAGAACAGTAGGCTTACCTACTGGTTGGGACCAAAGCTGAAGCTTATTTCTCACACTATAAAATTTTTCACAAGGCTGAGTTCAATATTTTAAGCTCTCACTGGGCAGAAATTTGCCTAGCTCTTTGGTTTATTTCTGAGTAGAAATAAAAAATTAATGATGTCTGTTAACTAAACCAGTAAAATTTGTCAGCGGTTTTCTAGTGTGCAAGTTCACATCATCTGCAAATGAGGCTATGACAGTGGTACACAAATAAGAAAGACGTGATGTCAGCTGGCATCACCAGATGTTTGGAACTTGGTGCTAGGCCAGGCCCTCACCAAGCCTGCATGTCTGGTTGGATGGCAGGCCAACTGTGTGTCCTGTGTCTGTTGCCTATGTATGCTTGGGAATATAACAGGTCTTGCAAATGCTGCTTTTTCTGTGAGTACTGCTAAACGAGGGCAAATGTAAAAATCCCCCCTGCCAACTGGAAGAGACAGAATTATCAATGACAAATGCTTTTTTCCCAGTTCTGTTGCTTCTTATTGTCTAGTTCTGAGCATTTAGGAGCTGCATGTGTTTTGCGGGGGACATCTATTACTGAGTCATGCTTTTGCCTAACCAAAAAAAAAAAAAAAACCAAAAAACAAACAAACAAACAAAAAAACAAACCCCCCAAAAAAACCCAACAAAATCCCAAACAAATACTTCTTTCCCTGACTGTAGGACTTGTTTTCTGGTTATGAGTGGGGGGGGCAAAACTAACTTGCGTGGAAAGGGTCTTGGACTACTGCTGGGCTGCTGAGTGCAAGCCCTTTGCTGTAAGTGCAGTTACTTGCCAAGCCTGCTCTTTAAGCTTAATCCTGTAAATTCTTGTCTTGTAGGAAGATGACGATTCAGAGACTGAAAAACCTGAGGCTGGTGACCTAAAGGTATTTGGAAGTGTGGTACGGTGGTGGGGGGGAAGTTCAGTACAAGAGGAATAAGTCTTAACAGCATGGCTTGGTGTTTGTTTGTGATCTTCTGTAGCTAGTTTCATACTTTCCTTTTTGTAGCTGTAATGTGTTTTTTTAACTTTAGTTCTGGCTTCTGCCAAAGGTAGTTAACCAGTTAGGCTACGGGCTGAGTCGTGATCAAGACCTGCATTTGTGAACTTAGTCATCGTGTGTATTAGATGTGAGGTAGGTTTTCTGACATCATCTCACCTATTTTGCAGGGCTTTGGGAGATGTAGTATTCAGTACAAAATTCTCTTCTGACTGGTGTTAGTTGGAATACTTTCTTTGTTTAAAACAATTTAATGAATAAATGATCTTATGCTCCTAGATGTCATGAAATGTGTCAAAATCAATTCAGTTGTCTCTTTCTGTCCTTCTGAATTAAACTGTATTGTATTTAAAGTTTAAAAAGTGAAATAAGATCCCCAGATGATAGCTATCATAGGTAGTTGAAGTCATCTTTATCTTGGAATTACATCTTGTTTCTGCTGAACAACAGGTGTTTGACAGCACATGGGAACATACATCAGGCAAAAAGCTGGAAGACAGACAAAAGACCAAATCCATTTGAAACTTTATAGAGACTTGTACTCAAACTTCTATGCTAGTTCAATCCCCTGTGCATTATAAGCAGTCTTGTGGGATACTGAGTGAATGACAATTGCAACGGCCTTTATTTTATCCAGTAGCTTCCTCAAGGATGCAGACAGTCTCTAAGCTCTGCTAAGGAAACCAGAGGACTGTGCTGCAAACAGCTTCTGTAGAGCATTTGAACTAGCATAGGGCTTTGATAGGACAAGATGAAGGCAAACGTATGTGTTTAGCTATTCTGCTTAAATGAGTTTTATAGCAGCACCTTATTCCAGTATCCACAATGTTTTTATGCATTTATAGTGATACACAGTTGAAAATCTTGGCAGCTGTACTGCAGCTGAAGCCTCTTGCATCAGTGTGTGAAGTATCATTAATGCCTTTGGCATAAAGGTAGGAGGCACTTGGAATGTACTGTCTCCTTTCCTTGTCACAAGAAAAATAAATTACTTTTTTTTTTGGAAGAGAGGAAAAGGTAGTATCTCACTCTTGCCCTTTTTCTACGAGTAAATTTTTGCCATTGTGGCTGGTAAGCATGCTAGTGAGGTATTTCTGTAAAAACTGCTGGATTCAAATGCAGACTGAAAGAATAGATGGATTTTCCCTAAAAGAGAAGTTTGGTGTACATCACCACAGCTTCTGTAGTAGGGCCCTATTGTAGCTGTATGCATTTCTGTCTCCTCTGAAAGGACTCTACTTCAGGGCAATGGAGAAAAGATCTGGCAAAGAGAGAAAACAAAATCAGACTATAGTAGCTCTTGTCTGAGTAATGATGCATTACAGAAATCCTACCACTGAATTGTGTGGCTACTGCTTTAATATGTTGCTGACATTTCATGTTGGCTTCTTTTAAAAGGCTCTTGATTTCAGTGAGTTCTATGTGCTACTGCTCAAGTGCGTTTTGTCCTTCTGAAGAACAGCTACACATGGCCATGGAACAGTGTTTCAGCTTCAGTGAGGAAGCACGCAACACTGAATGTATTAAAAGCATTTGGTATCTTGCGTACACTCTGCAAGAACTGAAAATGTAAATTAAAATAAAACTTAAAAAAATAAGGAAGGTAAAAAGTAATTCCTGCTGTCCTAGCATGGCATGAAAACTGAGGATTTTAGAAGACTAGCAGGGAGGCAAATCTGAACTTCATCAATTTCAGACTTCCAAGTCATTCTTAACAGATTTCTTAATACATAAGGGAAAAAGGCAATAGCTGCTTTTGGGGTCTTTGTGATTTTTAGCTAAATAGCCAGCTGGCACTTGGGGGAGAGGTAGAAGCACACCTTTGGTATGCAGCATACTGCAAGGCAGCCCAGTGCTGTGCTGCTGTGTGGCATTCTGTGGGGCACCAAGGGAGCTGCACTAGCCATGCTGTTAAGAAATTCACTCGGGATGGGGGGAGATGGAACATCACTGTAGAAGTAGTTTTACTTGGAGCAGTTGTAAATGTTTCCTATTCCCCTTTTCCACCAAGTGGCAGTGTTCACCTCATTCTTCCTCATTGCTTTGAGCTTGCAAAATCTATGACAAGTGAATAAGACTTGTAGTTCTGTAAGTCCAAAGCGAGGCATTTGATTATAACTTGTTAACACTTTCAGATAACTTTATTTTGTTTTGTCCCAGCTGAGTGCTGTAGTTCTTGCTTTGTGAGTTTCATTGTAAGACATCACAGACCTGGAAACATCTTTGAATAGCTATCACAAGCCCTTTATATAGGACTGGGGCTTTCCCAGGGTCTGAATCTGACCGTATGCAAAAGGTAGATCCTTTAAAATGCATGAATGAGATAAAAACATTGCAATTCATCTGTTAATTATAGTAATTTCAAGCCCTAAGTATACATTCAGCATATTTTTCTGGTGTTTTGCCTCTGTACATATGGTGAATTAACTACTTTGAGATTGTATCTTGAATAATTGACCAGGACACTTGAGCCAGGTTGTGTTGAGGAGGAGTTTGCTGTGTTTTGGCCTCATTCTGTACTTGGATAATGTCGGATGCAAAACCTCCAGAAGGTTCATTTGATGTCAGTTGTGGGTATACACTGAGGAGACTGAAAGCAGGGAATGATATAAAAGCTATCTGGTAAAGTAGTGGGGAGAGTAGAATTTGCAGCCTGCCTCAATTATCCCCACTGGGGGAGATATTTTTCTATCCTAGCTATGGTGTGGTGTTTCTATTTCTCAGGTTTTTATCTTGATTCCAGGGAGTGTGCCCTTGTTGACCTTGATGAAGGTGCATCTGTCTGTCTGTACAGCCCTGTTCCTCCTAGAGGTGAAGTCAGCATAAAGGGCTAGATGGGACTGCAGCTTTCCTGTGCTTTTTCTGCTGAGTAGCAAGTCACAATAAGCTTTTCAAGTTCAAACACTGTGATGTCAAACTGCTGTTTTCTATCTACCTTCAGAGAGATAGGTGGAGACTTTTCTGTACACCTGTTTGGGGGAAAGGGTGCACTGGCAATAGAATATTTATGCTTCATCAGTCATCTGAAAGTGTTTTTTCCGGAGCAGATTTCTGGCCCATAGGATTCTCTGTTACTGAGCACCTGTGAACCAGTTTTGAACACTGTGTTTGCAGCAAAAAGTAGAATCCTCCTGTTTAAGTAGCAAAGTCAGATATGTTGCATCTTGCAACTGCATTTTGAAGTGCTTGAGGCACATGTAGAAAACTGGAAATTCAAATCCAGGTAAAACTAATTGCTCTTCCAAATTTCACTCTGGATGGATGTGCTCAGGCTCTGGAACAGGACATGTTTGTTAGTGACCAAAATCACTCTAGGGGTCCCTGCTTTTAAGTGAGCAGTCACCAATTGTAAACAAGCATCTGTCTTAAAAGCACTTCAGGAACAAAGCGTTCTGCTTAGAAGGGAAAATAAATGGTCAACAGAAGCTCCTGGCAAAGGTGTGGTGTTAAAAAGATGGAATCCCACAACCTGGATGGGTTCTTTGTGTCCTTTCCTTAGGTGATGGAGCCATGGGTCCAAAATGAAGGAAGTTGTGGAAATTAGCATGAAATTAGATGTTCTGCTGGCAGTGTTGGTTTGGTATAACGAGGGTTAACGGGCTGTGCAGTGAATGCAAGTTGCTTGGGCTCTTGCCAGCAGCTGGCTATGGTTACAGCCTTGATGCAGTAACAAGATACAAGCCTTCAGTGCTCACTAAATGGACCAGCCCTGCAGGAAGAAGGAAAATGAACCTTAAATGAAATACTGACCTTGTGCTCCAGGATTCACCAGAGGGGTTCTGTACTTCATATTGTAGGGCTGGATGAAGAACAGGTTGCAAGTGTTGATCAAGGACAGAGCCCAGCCCTGCAGCTTGGCTCTCTGAAGTTTTCACAGGGGGAAATGATTAACTCTTGAGCCTTGATTGTGGTATCAGGACTAGCCAGTGCAGCAAAGCTGATAAATATTGCCACTCCCTTGGCAAGTGAATGCCTGACACATGGTAACAGTTTCTCAAAGCAGGTGGCTACTTTGATGTTTTCCTTTTCTGGTTTTATTTTAAGGGTTCCCTCTGCATCCTTGTGGGACTGCATGGAGAGGGAGCTAAACTGAGATCTAGTAGATGGGTGTCAAATTTTTGGAGGGAATTCTATGTTTTTAAGCATGTCTAAATGCCACCTCTTGATAATTATCAGCTCTTTGTTATGTTTGGCTTTTATTGATCCAGCATACCTGTAAAGTAATTTTACTGTGTTGTGATGCGTAGGTGTGTGCTAATACTTAGAGGCTTTTGATTGCAATGGTTTTTTATCTTGCCTGCCCATTAACCTGTTTGTTTAAATACCAAAATTATCTTGATTTAAAGTAAAAGTGATAAGTGCTAAGAGCCAGTAAATGGGGGTGTGTGCTGTAGTATAATCCTTGTAATTAACTCTTATTTTGATAAGGTATATTAATTTTTCCGAATTCAAGATACATTCATCAAGCCAGATTCTCAAAAGATGCCTGAACCTACTCAGTAACTTCTGCCTCAAGTATAACTGTTTTGCTCTGAAGAAGGGAAAAAAGTATGTTTAGGAAAAGTTGTGTCATTGAAGCACTGCTGTTCCTTTTAGGTGTTTCACACCAAGCTGTATAAAAGAAGCTGGCAGTAATAAGCTTCAGAAAATAATTTTCATAATTTGCCACTGTCAAAGTAAAATATTAAGGTTGCTTAGGAAATGTAAGCCCTTGATGCTTTCAGTTGTTGAGAGGTAGTCATAAAAATTTTACTTAGTTATATGACCTTTAACATATTCTGAAAAACACATATTAAAGCTGCTGTTCCATCAAAAAACAATGCACTCTGCAGTGGCTGAAGTGGCTGTGTATTAGTCTAATTGGCAGCTGGATCTGATAGGATATAACTGGTTTGTAAGTCTGTTACAGAAAGGCACTCCCAATGTCTCATCAGAAAGAAGAAAAATTTAATTCTTTTTCTCCCACCCCCCTCCTGCTTTTTGATGTTATCTGGATTATGGATTAGTATTGGCCTCTGATGGGTAGAACTGGCAAAAGAGCAGCTTTATTTTAAAAATGGCCTTGTGTTGTGCATGGTTGTGCTGCATACCTCTTTGTAAACACTTTCAAAGTGTGAAGTGTGCCTTTCCAGGGATAGAGTTAAGGTTAGATCTCCTGTGGTTTGTTTCCCCACTCATTCCTTTACCTGTGAGCACAGCCTGAAGGTAACAGTGATAAGCGCTGCAGTCTTGGATTCATCTTTTTCTGTTTTCTAGCTTCCTTTCAATATAACTGTGTTAAAATGCTGTCTGTGCTTCCAACTCCACATATTTTTCCCTCGCTTTAGGTTTGACACACTGTTTTCCAGCACTGCAGAGGGAACCAGTGAGTTTGGCAATTTGGCAGCCAGCATTACATTCAGAGAGCCTTTAGGTGGAGTAGAGTTAACTCAGCTCCTAATGCTGTCCTCTACACTATTACAGTGAGTGCTCAGACATTAAAACAGCTGATACCTGGTTCCCATTTTTTAACTAGGTGGTTAAGTTTAGTTATTGCCAGAGAATATCAGTGTCAGTTAAACAGTTTTGCATGCAGGAAACAAAATAACATTCGGCATCTTTGATTATTTTGCCCCTTTCCCCATGTACTTCTGTGTCTCCAGCTCTGTCTACCTGAGAGGGAGGTAGATCACAGCATTGTTGGTCTCTGAAGCTGAATTACCTACTTAGAGCTGCTGGCTTCAGTCCAGCTCTTGAGCTGTTTGGAAGATGAGACATGTCCACCGACATGCTTGTTCCTTCCTCCCCGCCAGGCATACATGCTGTGGCAGACTCTTAACTCCCTGCAGTACTAAATACCACAGATTATTGACACAGGTGTGGCTTGCCTTTCTCCAAAGGAAGAGCCAGGCTTTTTCTGTTTGTCTTTAAACTTGAAGAAAAGTCCTTTCTGGAGCTGCTTCCCCTTGCCTATTTCACCTGATAAAGGTCTAAGTTTTTCAAGTCCGGTTCTGTAGTTGTAATTATTTCTGTCTGCTGTACTGAAATAGGCAGTTCTGAATTTGCATGTCGGTGCATGTCAGAGTGAGAATCTGAACAGTCAGCACAGATGGATGATTGCCTCAAATACCAACAAATATCTGAAAATAGCTGCTTCTAGCTTCCCCATTCTGGGTACAGAAGGACCAAAATTTGCAAAAACTCTGAGGGATCAATTCATGGAGGAGTGCATATCCCAGTGAGGATACTTGCTTTTACACCTTACCTGTACTCCAAACCATGAAGAAGAATTTTTAGTGCTGTGTACTGGGGAAGGAAAGCTCGTGCAAAAAGTTAATTGTCAGCTCTCCTGAGCCTTTGCTGCTGTGAGGCTTAAGATTTCCCACAGTCCAGCTTCACCTGCTACTTGATTCTGCACTGCAACAATCGGTAAAAAAATAAAATCATTGAAGTAGCTTGACACCTCAAGCCCTGTCATGTGGTGCTGATATTTCACCTCTCAATTCCTGCTTCGCTATAGGAAGGAAAACTGACTTACAAGTAGAATTTATGGGCTCTGCAGACCACGGTGGCTTCTGGTGGGGACTGTCGGGAGCTGTGCTACTGGCTGCGCTCAGTGTGGTGACTGCTAACTGCTGGTGTGCTCCCATGGGCTGTGGTGCAATCTTCCGTGCAGGCTGGTTTGCACATTTACACTATAGCACCCTGGTTGGTGTCTGTGCCGTGGAGAGGCTGTGCTCTGTGGTCTTGTGAAACACGTGCACAGGGTGACCTGCGAATGTTAAACCTGGAGGGCGCCTAGCATCGGGGAGAGAGGAGGCAGCCAACAGAAGCAGGGAGCTTTTGGACCAGGGTGCTGTCGTAAGGCAGATGTTATTCACTGTACCTCCACTTGGAAAGCGAGAGTTCTGGCACACAGTTCTTTGACTGGAAATTACTTCTAACAAATAATCTTTGTCAAATATTGAGATAGCATATGTTAGGTGAACGGAATCAAGTTTCAAAGAAGCTATTTAAAGGCTTTTATGCTATGAATGCTTCCCTTCTAAAGCATTTCTCCCTGAAATGTTTTGCCAGGTCTTAGTTGGGGTTTTTCGGTGTTTCTTCAATGAAATGAAGGTGGAGTTTTAGACTTATTTTAGCTTAAAAAGTAAAAGGCAGTGTCAGCTACACACATTCCTTATTTTGATAAGATGCTTAAGGAATGTCTCAGGAGTTGACTCTTTCCTGACTTGATCTTTCTTCCCTTTTTCTCTGTGACTATAATATCTCAAAATAGGTAGCTTTGTACAGGCTGTATGTAAGTGTCACTGAACATGTATCTCGATCATGGTCCCTACAGTTAAGTTAAATTTCTTATCCTATTCTGGGCACTTTGCCTGGAGCTATGTATCAGAGCTGGCAAACAGGATATGGCTGTAGGAAATGGGCTTGTTTCAAGCTTTCTCTTGGGATTCTCTTCTCTCACAATACAAGAAAAAAGAGAGGGAGGAGAAATAAAAGCACTGTACTTCTGTTCCCTTGCTTTTTCTTCCCCAGACTCTGAATACACTTGACATGTGTTCTGCTGCCCTCAGCCTTGTAGCACACCAGCATCAGGCAGATCTTGTGAGCAAGAAATTAAGTAGTTTTTGTCATACACTTTTGAATGAGAAGTTTCTGGTGTTCTCTCCCCATAAGCACTCTTGATGTTTGTAGAAAAGCAAGAACATAGTTGCTAGCATGTTCCTTTAAAAAATAACAACAAAAAAAAAAGGCAAAAGCACATGATCCATGGTTTGGAGAGGTCTCTCTCTTGCTACCTGAATATAAACATTTCACCTGCTTGTTCTGCCAAGGCCATGTTCACTGTCAGCTTAGATTATTCTTCTAACAATTTATGCTAAGATATAGAGTTTCTTTGTGTCTTACTCAGACAGATGAGACTTGGTATGTTAGGACTATAGGAGATAGTCTGAATTGTAGAGAGGGAGGAAAAATTACAAAGACTTACTGCAGGCACTTGCACAGATGAGAGAAATTCACTGTAACAACTATTGCAGCAGGAGGTCCACTGGCTATTAGTAGAAGGACTGCACTGGAAAATTATCTGCATTAGTATCTTTGGATAATCCACTAGTATGACCAACAGTGTGACTGGTCTATACATTTTTTCAGCTGTCATTCTGAATTGATATTAAATTTCTTTATATGCAAGCAGTCAGGTGAAATAGTTGGGGGAGAAAAGAAATTCTGAAATGCAAAAGCATTCTCTGGGAAAAAAAGAGAAAATGTTGAGTGATACTGTGGAAGCTTCCTAGTTACTTTTTAATACTAACTGAAAGCCAGCAGAAAAATGAAGTTGTAGGACTAAGTTGGCTGCAAGTCTGGGAACACAGTCGAGTAGTGGCAAATCTGGCATCAACTTCTCCACTTCTTACAATTTGCATCTTAATTTAAATCAACCAGTTTCTGGTTTTGTATCTTTTCTGCCACCCTGCTCAACCATCTCTTCATGTAGTTTGAAGTACGCCTGCATTAACATATGGAACTGCTTCTATGAGAAATTCATGGTTGAATTTGTCTCTTTTATGACAGTTAACACCAACAGTTATGTTCTATGTGAGTTTTGTACTGGATTTATGGATCTTGTTTCAGGAAGGATTTAGCGAGCATTGTTGTAAGTCAGTCCATTCTTTCCATTAAATAAAGCTGGAAAGGCTTGCCCAGAACAAACTTGAATTCATCAGATTCATATTGGGTTTGCTTCCTTCCTTTAATCTGTGTTCCACACTGTGAGGATTGTGTTCAGTTGTTTTTATTTTCCATGGAACCTGAGCAAAGACTTTTTTATGTAACTGAATGGAAACACTACAACTAAAAGGGCGGTCTGTATTTCACCTCAGCAAGGTGAAATCTTAAGCCAAAGTGCAGCACTTTCCTGATGTGTGTACTTACACACACACCACCCTCCCTTTCGCTTGCTCTTCTGTAGCTGATTACGATACATAAAAACTGAACCATCAAGCTGGGTTCATATCAGCCAGGCTCTTGCAGGCAGCGTCGTCTTGCCCAGGGCTTGAAGAAGGCATTTGTCTTGGGGAAGTAGAAAAAATGGAAAACCTTTTCCTGAATGCACGCAGGAATAGTAATAGAACTGTTTTCTGCTATTGCTGAGCTGATGTGCAGAACT